AATATAGGGTGCGGTTTGGCGCTATTAGCTATTTCAGCAGACATGAATGAATAGTTTTTTTTAAAACCAATAGTGGTTTGAACACTAATTATTTCTCTCCGATTACATTCTTATTTTAAAAAAATATAAAAAATACTTTCTATGAACCAAAAATTTTTTAAAAAAAATATAAATATTTTTTTTGGAGGGGGGCATTTTGAAAATACGTCCAAATAGGCCTGGAATAGAGTCTGAATTACAGAATATAATTATAATAGCAAAGAGTGTTAGATATTTGTAATACTGGTTTAAAAAAATATTTGAAGAGCATTAAAAAGTAATAAAATATGTTACTTTTTCCCTACACAGCCGTAACTGATAATGGTTTCTAAAAATTTCGCAAGAGAATTAACAACACACATGGATAAGACAATAAATATAACCCTCTGGAACCATTTTAAACAATATTTGAAAGAAGAAACTAATAAGGAAAAATCTGTAGTCTTAACCAAATCAAAAATTCATAAAGAAGGGAACATATGAAACCACTAATCTAAATTATAATACTATGTGTTTGTTTAAACTTCCTTTTAGAAGGCATGATGTAGGGCAGAATATTAAACACTGCTATGATACACTCAATTATCTTAGTTTCCTTCTGCAAATCAGTACCTGAATCTATTAAAGGTTTTGGCATTCATGCTTTCTTTTAAAATTTATCCATTATAAGAAATTTATACAATTAAAAACAGTCAAAATGTAAAAACAAGGCCAATATTCAGAAGTAAAGAATATATCTCTACCTACCCGAATCAACAGTAGGAAGGAGGCCGAATTGTTGTCCATGACGAGGGAGGAAAAGGAGGACAAATTGTTCTACAGGTTGGACAAATTCGAGGAATACTAGAATAGGAGGCTGGGTTGGTGTTTTAAAAAACACATAATCATAAGAAAATAAATAAACTTGACGTTGGCCATATATTTATTTACTTTATGAAAAATAAATATTGTGGCAACACGGGATATATATATCTTAATATTTTTAATCGCCATTATTATTAACTTCAGGGATTTTTTTACATATTTTTTAAATTGAATGGACAATTATTGTAATATTATTGATATAGTTATCATTAAGTGATATATGTATATATATCAGACTTGCAGTCAAGGCCCGGATTTTTTAAAAATATATTACATTTTTTAAATTTTGATAATTAATAATGGTGATTTAAAATTCACGACCCGGGCATATTTAAAAAAATTAGGGCCGGGCCTGCAGGTCTCTGATATATATGAAGAATTAAGTTGGTTGATTAAATAGTATATTCTGATAATTAAAGTAAAAACATTTAACTTAAATTATATTCAGATATAAAATAGAAGTGTCCATAAATTAAATAATATAGGTTAAGAGCTTTCAAAAATCACCATCATAGGCTTGAGCAACACAAATAGCATTTATAGAATTGTTATTTATCGTTATTGGTGTTTTTGTTAATGACTCGCCTCCTAATTAGGATTGATATAATAAAATAAAATTTCTAAAAAAGTATTAAATCAATTAAATCTAAAAAAAATAATTTAAAATTCAAAATAAAAAAAATTCAAATGTTCAGGGGGCTATTCAAATTTTTCAGGTGACTTGGGCCCCTGGGCCCCCTGTCGCTACTGTAAGTAGTCTTTTCACTATCTTTACTAAATTCATATTTTGTGAGGACCTTTTTTTAAATTTTAACTTAGCATAAAGGTCAATTATTTAATGGTTATTTATGCTAGATTTTTAGGCAATCATTTATATTTATTATAATCAGGGTTTGAAACATTAATTTACCAATAAAATTTGTTATAAAAATGGTGTAGAAAATTAGAAAAATAAACAAATATTCCACTATTTCAGAAAAAATTGAAAATAATTTAACAATAAAATTATTCAATTTTTTTAAATCAAATTATTGATTTGAGCCTAGTGCTTCTTAGCATGAAAGGTCTGTAAAATCCTACCCAACCCCGAATCGGAAAATTGTAACCGGAAAATATTTTTTTTCGGTTGGGTCAAATTTGCAAATATTTTTTTAAAAATTTGATATCAATTCATGGTTTGATTGCATATAATATTATACAACTTTGTTTATTTTACTATATAATTAATAAATTTTCCGATTTTTTAAAATATTTTGATTTTCGGGTTAGGTCGGGAAAATTGGTCTTTTGTAGGTTTTTACTTAGAGTCCCTAATTTAATATATTTTTGCATTTTCTAACGTTATTGAATTTTTTTTAGATGAAACTAAAGTTGCCAAAATATTTAATAACCCTCTTATTATATAAAACAAACGAAAAAAATGCCATTCAGCCTTTTTTAAAATTATTTTTATGAATACCCCATTTTAAAAGTAAGCTTTTAAGCACCTCCCATAAAAAAAATAGTTATGATTATGGAATAATTTATAGAAAATTTCATTAAAAAAAATCATGAAATAACTATAACATTCTTCAAAAACAAGAACATCATAATTCATAAGGCTGCTTGTTACTGTTATACAAATTATTAATCGATTTTCCAAAAAATAATCAAGAAGCAAAAATATAATAAACTTTTTTTCCTGACCTAAATATCAATAAACTCCCAATTTTAAAAAATATTAAAAAATTTAAACTCATAATTTTTTTTTATTTGAAAAAAAAAATACTTCTTAACTAATATAGTTTTGTTTGAAAAAATTAGCACCTATGTAAATAAAATATATATTTCTTATTAAATAGGTATATAATAATTAATAATTATTGATTGATTTTTGTTTTATATTAAAAATTGATCGGTAAATAAATTTTGAAAAAATAATATCTATTATACTAAAACAAAAAAGTAAGAACTTTTATAAGGGAGAAAGGGAAATCTTGCCAGGTTCTCTTGTGAGCGCTAGGATTTTCTTTAAGTGTAATACTCTAATGGTTAATTTTTATCTTGCAAATGCGGTTATAAATTTTTTGGATCGCATAAAATTTTTATGTCAGAATTATATGGATTTAAGCAATGCCGTAATTTTTGAAAAATATATAATTAAAACAACAGAGGTTTTTAATTGTCTAATAAATAACCTGCCCTATTATAAAAAAAATTACACCGTATTCTATATAAAATTATAATAGTGAGACCTAATTGTGCTTTTTAGAAAAAAAAGGAAACCAGTTTGCGCTTTTATATTATAGTGCTGATCAATTTGCACGATACCATTTTGAAATGAATTGTTTCTGTTTTGCGTAACGAAACTAGTGTTGTTAAATGGCTCGTTTTGAGCCGATTTTTAAAAACGGCTAACTCGATATTTCATCTAAAAATTATTACGCACGCCTGATGATTTTGCTCATAGAGGTACAAAGGTCTAGACATATATTATAGAAATCTCTAGACTTATGCACTATTTAAAATATTGAGTTAGCCGTTTTAAAAAATCGGCTCAAAATGAGCCGTTTAACAACACTAAACGAAACACAAACTGCTCTAAAATTAAATTTAGATGAATCGGGGAATAGCTTTGTTGATATGTTCGTATGAGGCATACACAGTTATTATATTATGACCAGAAATTTTGATTTATTTAAACATTAATTTTACATAATATATTTATATGCAAACATAAATTTTTTTACCCTGTGAACAATTACTTAGCAACTTACCCACTTATCCTGCAGCAGGGTAATGATATATAGCAATTTGCTAAACAATGAACAAATTTATTAAGACGCATTTTTACGAAATCATGCAGTCGCTTCGGATATTCTATATCATAGTTCTGCAGATGATTTTTAAGCCAGACCCGCTGAGAATTAGTTAATGCCCGGCCCCTGTTTCAATTTTTTTTGCTAGGGTTGCCCGGCTAATATTTTAAATACAAGGCTTAAACCTATTATGTTAACACTTGCCTGGCCTAACCCAAAAAATTTCCAAACGTCACTCGACCCTCCCCATATCGCAGATCTTTGTTTTATATAACATAGCCCGTGATATACCACCTACTAGTAAACTTCAGGAAAAAACGCAGATTCTTACCGAATTCAAACTCAGATTTATATAATAGGTGATATATGAAAACACAAAACAATTTTTTTTGTATATCAGGATAAATTACGATTCTATCTAATATTAATAAATATACTCAATAATGTTCAACGCTATACATCATTACCCAGCCCTGCCTAGAATTTATCAAATAAAAACACAACATTGAATATGCTTCTAAAATTTAAACGTGAATAGGCAGAGGGGGAATGTTTGGGATAGTAACTATTATATCATTAATTTAGATATATTCATTTATAAATAAAATCATGGATTGTTATAGCTTATTCTTCTATCATTTTTTCCCACTTTTAGATAAGAAAGCTAAAAAAGTACCTTGACTCTTTTATTTTAGAAGGATGATTCCTTCTTGTAATTTTTATAAAATAATATTTACTTCATCAATTCTTATTTTTTCTTTTGGTTATTTATTATAATTTTATTATTTATCTTCCTGATTCTTGAATTAATTATTGATGGGAAAACCAGATGTTTCTTTTTTCAGCGACTTTTATATATTTTTTTAATATTTTTGTTAGTTTTTCTTCCCTTTTAATTCTTCTTCATTATCAAAGGCAAAATAAAAATTTTGGTAAAAAAAAGATAAAATACTATTATGAAGAAAGCATATAAGATGGGAAAAATGGAAAAATAAAAAAATATTTTTTAACCAATTTTTTTAAAGATACATTCATTCTATATTATTTTTAATGTCTTTGAATTTAACCTTTTACTTTTCAAGATTTTTATAAATATTTTATATAAAATATATAATATATTGAAGAGAATAAAATGGAACTAATTAAATTCCTAATAATTGAGAATTAATTATAAGGTTATTAAAAGCGTTAAGTTTGAAATCAAGGTTAATAAATTTGTCAATTTCTAATTAAAGTTAGACAGACTCACGAAAAGATTTTTATCGTAAACCGAATTTTGTCATTATAAAATAATTTTACTTGATTTAGAATTTCCCAACAATACAACTAAGTGAATATAAAGAAAATGATAGGTATCTATTCTGTCGCAGCATAATAAAGTTTTCTATAACTATATTGCTAATTTTTTATCATTAAAATTAAGAATTAACGAAAGATTCTTGAAAACTAAACATTCGAATTATTACACAATATTAATAAAATTTAACCAGAAAATTTTTTTTTTAAAAAAGATTATAGTTATAATATAACACATGTTTGTAGATACATTTTTTAAGCCTATAAAAGTTTTGGTTTTAGATAAAACATATTATAATTATTTAAAAAGATGTTTAAAAAAAACTTATTTAATTTTTTTACCCAGTTGACTCTATACAGCTGATTTAATTTCAACAAATAAAAATAACAAAATATGTTTCTAATGTATTCCATTCTAATTTTTGAGTCATAATGTATACTTACTTTGCTAAGTATATATAACAACTGCTGGTAAGTTGAAATTCAAAATTTTATGCAATATACTTATTATGCTTTATTTTAATTTTTGTTGATTGCCAAACTTTTTCAGTGGTGTTTTAAAATTAAAAATTATGTTTCTTCTTGCCTGCCTGATGGCATGAATTAAAAAAAAGATTGAGTTTTGTTTATTATTTTTGTATTTAAAAAATACAAAAAACAACTCGTTAGTAAAGTTTTTTTTTAATTTTAAAAGTGCTGTTTTGCACATAAGGCGCTATCTTGGATGATATTTCTTCTCCAAGATCTAAATCATATGTTGTATAAGTCAGAAGGGATATGCGAAAATTGTATATATATATTTTCGTTAAAAAAATTATTGAAACACATGTATTTTAAATATAAAGTATATTATGCTTGTGTATATATAATATTTTTTTAAAAAAAACTTTGCCTCATTTACTTTGAACATTTCCAGCATCTGATAACTTTTCTTATTTTTTTTTGTTTAGGAAAATTATAAAATTTTATCGTTAATTTTTAAATATATTTTTTTGGTTTCATTTGCCTTCAAACCTCTTTTTTGACTCTTAAAAAAAATTAAGTGTGATGAAATTTTCATTAAATTAATCATTGTACAATTTTAATTCGGCGTCGTTCTGCAATAAATCTGAACAAACATGCCTTTTATAAAGAATATCCTTTCTTTATCAACGAAAAATCTGATGCTGGATTTCTTAACCAAATTTTATGAAATATTATGTTGCGTGATTTACCAAAAGCCTTTACTGATATTTCTTCAGACATGGGATTTCATTCTAGATAATGGATGACTGAGATATATTCTCTTCAAATCATATTCTCAATTTGGTATATTCTATCAAACATTGAAAAAATAAGACCTGTATTTAGGGGAAAAATTCCTGCTTCAGGATATCATTAATGTGATATGATTAATACTAATAATTCTTCCTAAAGGACATAAATAATGTATGATACAGGACATCAATATATGAAACATTGGTTGGATCATATAAATTTTTTTGACAAGTCATTTATAAATAATAAATTCAGAGGAAAATTCTTTACATGCGATAAAGATTCGCTATTAACTATCAATTTATTCAATTAATTGCTAAAACCTTATTCCTCATCATGTTCTCAACCTTTCTCTTCTATAATCTTATATTACGAAATCTATAAATATAAGTATACTTATCTTCTCTTTTTTTTCTAAATATGTAAAATAAAATTTTTTAAAGCTTTTTGTTTTAATTAACATTTCATAATTTTTGATATAAATGAAGAATATAACAGGAAAAAAAAATTCAGTCTAAAATTTTTGCAAGAATTATCAAAATATTTATAAAACTATGCATGAAAAATGAAAGAATAACTGTTGCTGTTCTGCCACGTAACATTGTTTATTTTCCCTTACTCCATTTCATCCTCTTATTTTTTTACTTTCACGTTATTTATAATTTAATTTTTAATAAAAAGAAGAGATTATATTTTATAAAAATAGACTAATATTTTACTAATTTAAAATCAATTCGATTTGATAAAAAAAAAATTGCGAAATGTCAATCTTATTCTATTTAAATTTTTTTTTTGATATCAATACTATATTTTGTTTTATCTGTAATAAAAAATTCAAAAAATAGTAAATATAATAATAATCTCGTATTTAAATTTATATATCATCTTTCTTGTAAAAAAATCCTTTTATTTTTCAATCAAAAATTACTCGATGTAAATAAAATATTTTTGTGAAAATTTAAGTCAAAAACTTATAATTATTTTAAATCCAGAAATTCGTTGTATCGCAAAGGAAAGATTCTTATCCTAGGACTATGATGCAGGCTTCTAAACCGCATGTTAGTTTTGTTGCCGATAATCCTTATTATAATCTCCAAGGTAATACATTAATTAATGGTTATTTAATCATTTTTCTTAAAAAGTATTCGTATAATCAGTTACTTCTTACTAATTATCTTCTATTTGATACATATTTAAATTTTTTAAAAAAGATTTAAATCAACAACCGAATTCCAACGGGGGCGACTTTTGGCCGTCCTCTCAGCTTAATTCCGGTCATTCATCTTACATGCCACAATCGTTCGTTCCATTCCAAATTAATAGTATTGATAATGATTCTCACGTAAGTATATTTATCTTCTTATTTTTTTAAAAAAAATTTAACTAAAAATTATTATGTTTATTAAGATTTTCTGACTCCAGAGATGTTAATTTATCGGAAAAAGACATGTTATATTAAATTATTAAAATAACATTTTTTTTAAAATAAATGTCAATCATTTTTTATAGAGCTTTGTGCCTTGTTTATTAACTTTCATTATCTTTTGTTTTCTCTTCATTTTTTCAATGATAATCACATGATTAAATTAAAACCCTATAAATTATATCTAGTAAAAATAAAACAATTTAATTTACTGTTTTATTTATATTTAACACATATAAAAACATTTAAATAATAATAATATTGTAAAAACTTGAAATCTCATATTTTAAATTAACCATCTCCACAATTAACCTTTACAATATTTACCTTTTAAGATTAGGGTTTGGCATGATTTAGTCAAATTTATTTAAATGGTGATTGAAATCATGATTTTTTAAAGTTAAAATTACGGTTTAAATAATCAATTTTTTTTCTTGTAATTTAAAAAATATATAATGGTTGGTTTTGTTGGAAAAATTAAGTAAAAACCCAGTCTAGGGTGACCGTGCTATTGAGCTGGTATCCTATTTATGTCAGGAATTATCTATTTTATATCTATATTTATTGATATCTGCCAATACTATCTTACCCCGAAGGGTTTGCCATCTTACTCAGGGTCGTTGGTAAATTGTAAAAACCACTACTTTTATTTGTTCTTAAGTAACGTCAACAGTTTTAAGGGTCAGGTGCGTCGCCAGAGGAAAACCCCCCTTCATCGCAAATTTGCCTGTTCTCTTAATTTTAAAGTTAATTTTCAGAAAAAAAAACATTTTATAAAAAAGTAAGTGAACAGTGAACACCCACCAAAATTATTTTTATAAAATATAATATAGCCAAAAGCCTACAATAAGCCACCATAATTATTTCCAATAAAATTTATGGTGAAAACCCCATCTAATAGTGCCCCCCCCCATAGGAAAATCCTGGATACCCCTATGTAAAAAGGTAGAAAGCCCCAGTATTTAATTTTGCAGTTTAAGGTCACAAAAGGGCAAAATACCTGCCACATTAATTTAATTACTTGCTTGCGCCTTTTTATTTTATTTTTTTACAGAAGGTACATAATTTTTATGTTTATTCTTTCTAATTTTTTTAGAGATTTATATAATATCAACTTATCGTAATATATATACATAAGAGACCTGCAGGCCCGGCCTTAAGCCCGGCCCGGGTACAGCGGTATTTTATTTTTTTTAAATATACCTGAGACGCGCCTAAAAAATTTTTTTTAAAAAATACCCGGACTGAGCCGCATATCTTAAAACCAAATATTTTAAATCCTCATTATTTACTAAAAAAATTAAAAATAAACATAATATTTAAATCCGGACCAGGACGTAAAATATTTTTTAAGGGCCTTGCTCTGCAGGTTTCTGATATATATATATACATATAATTATTAGGAAATTTTTCATTGTCAATGTTACTAGGTACATTTTTTTATATTGGTTGATTTTATAATCATATACGTGATATTAAGCGCCTAGCCCTATGCATTATATAACAAAGTTATATATATGCAACAGAGCAACGCTTATTTCTCTTTGAAAAGCCCATTAAACTAGGATAAAAAAGATGGCACGAAATAATTAAGAGACCATCGACGTTTTTTGAGCAAGCAGCAAATAACCCTGCCTGCAGGGGTCCACTTAAACACCCATGGAAATAAGAAAATATGTTTTAAAAAAAAGCACATGCTCGATTAAACAAAAATTTTGATTGTGAAAGTATTTTGTTGGGTGTGTTAATTTTATTCTTATTTAGCATTTTGTGAGAAACTAGTATAAAACATCAAAATACTAAGATTAAATTAATTAATAAAAATACCCACAACTTTGAAGATGCAATATTCGCACTGGAAAAACGAAACCCAATTTATCTAATAACATAAATCTAGTTTATAATCCTTTTCCACCTGCGTTTTTCAATTTTTTAAAACTGATTATGCTGGATTTATATGACAACTTACATTACCTACCCTGTATATTGTTAGATATTTTTGCAGTGAATTTTTCAATTAGACTTTATATTAATTTTTCTTGTAATAAACAAAAAATTATGGATAAATTGTCTGAAATACAAGTAGGTACTCTATGCATGGCTGATATAGGATTCCGACAAATAGGATCTTTCAAAATTAATAAACTTGTTATAAAATGATTTAAGTTTTTAAAATCAATTAAAATCTTTGTTTATAAAACCTAACCATGAATTTGCTAAACTCTTAAGGAGTATAATATAATTCTTTTTTGCTTAAAGTTAGTTGCTTTTTTTCATATAATTTAATCGTTTGAAAGAATTAATATAGCGTTATTCTTATGTTGCTATATTTGAGTAACTGTAACTTGTTACATTTCAAGTATGGCAACTATGCTATAACTTAACATTAATGACGCTAATTTATTTTATTAATAAAAAAATTAATCTAAATTTGTATGTTTATCATGATCCCTACTTAACTCGATCTCAATTTGTCTGAGAATTTACCCATGACATTCTATCCCTTACTGATGTTAAATTCATCAGTCATAGTTTTAAATGATAAAATATTAAAGTTAGAATAAATTGGGCAAGTTAAATATCAAATATTGAAAATTATAATTGAAAGGGTAATTTTTAATCAATCCAATATAGCTTTCACATATTCATAAATTTCGCTGGAAAACAGATACTTAATATAATAAAATGAATGTATGCTTTCTCTATATTTTTTTTTAGCGAAACATAATTATAAAATATTTTTATTATATTATAAAACTTGATTTAGTCAAATCCGTGATTTATTATAAAAAATCATGATTTTTGCCCCACCAAATTTTCTTTATAATTTAGTTTCCATTTTTCTTAAATATTTAAGTGCGCTGAGAAAATTTTCAAAAATTTAATATATAATAATTGTAATGTATGAAAATTATGAAAATATAGTCATTTATAAAACAAAGCATTATATACATATATAAAAAAATTGTCAATCAATATCAGTTTTTTGTGCATGTATATTAATGACTTTTTCCCCATTTTATTTAAAATTAAACACAATATATTATTTGACAGTCACACTTGGTTAATCAAAGAACCCAAGGCGCCCTGTTCCTGCATCCCAATGATGCGTATAATATTAATCACCAGGCAACACATAACAATTTCAACAGAGAAATTCCGCCATCACAAACTGATTTATCTACATCTCCCCCTCCCGCCTTACATCCGTCACCTAATTTAAGACAAATGTTGCCTCCACATCACCTTTTCTCCGGTCTTCCGTCCATGTCTAGTTTTAGTAACAGAGGTATGTCCTCTGATAATGACCAAGAAGAAGTGGGTGACCCATCTAATGATACGTTGCAAAACAACAATCTGAATAACCAAATTATTCAAGATGGCCACTTGAGCCGTCTAAATAACCTCAGAGAAGAAGATAGATTATTAAGGCATCAACAACAAAATTACGAAGAAATAATGTTATACCATCACCAACATATAAACTCCCACGAGCCCAATCTTCATAATAACAATAATTACGTCCATTTACCGCTGCTCCCTTCTTTTGAAGAATCGACAGCTATCAATAGCAATGGCGAAGAGGGAAAGGACGATAATAATGTAGATTGTGGCAATAATACCGACGAGGGAAATAGAATCAGCCTCATGTCTTTTCGGCAAGATGAAGGAAACTGTGGCAGTAATAATAAGAATCATCTGAATATGAACGGACGTCGTAATTTTACTATCATAGAACAAGGTTCGAATGATATAAATCGCGCTTACGCAAGTATCAGGAACAACGAAAGAATGACAAATTATGGTGAAAATAATGAATGTCAAGACGCTGACAACGATGTTAATAATCATCAAGGTGATAGAGGACAACTAATGCATTACCAGAATAGACTAAGACTCATGAATCCGCCTACCACTGAGACCGGGGATGCCCTGGGCAGCGCATTGGCATCGGTAATTAATTATATTTTTAATAAAAAGTTTTCATTTTTCAGTCTATAAAAATAACGATTAATTACATTATTCTCGTATTCCAATCCTAATTTTTAGAATCTTAAATAATTTCAAAGGGAAAAAAATAATGGATTTTTTAAAAGAGTGGAAATAAAGTTTAAAAAAAAGGTTTCGCAAGAGACTTATTGCGAATGTTTTCATAAAATCACTTTGTTATTCCTATTTTTTCTTCTTCTCCGTTTAATTGCGATTTTCAGGTTTACCCAGTTAACCGATATTCACAATTGGATGAGTGATGGGTATTAAATTACACATTTAGAATTTTTATGGTATGAAACTGGCCAAAACTATACAAAATAATTAGATATTGAAGTCAACCCTATTTTATAATATAACTCCCAATTGTTATTTAATCCAAAATTACAATTCAAGCAAGCAAATCAAAATAAAATAAACAATATAAATAATAATGATTTTACATAGATATATTCTTCTGATCAACAAATTCCATATTTACCACCTCACATTCCCAACAATTACGATAGTCTCTCGCCACTCAAATCAGGAGGGCGGAACAATTGGTACCCCAATGGCAACTTAAAATTGAATCATAAATCTACCAACGAACTCCAAATCCCGTCACAAGCGACACTTATGCAATTGGGAAAATACGCACATATGAATATGCCGGGGGTAAAACCGACCAACATTTTATTATTAATTATAAAATATTTGATTATTTATAAATTATTACAAAAAAGTATAATTTTTAAAAAACAAATGTTTAAATACTATATAAAATAAATTTCTCGTTCTTTATTATTTAAATTTTTTTATAAATAAATATATGGTAATTTGACTTAATTTGAGCCATAAACTTCTAGTGATATCTTAATAAGTTATACCCTTTGTTTGCATAACCAGTTGTTACCAAATATATCTTAGAAGCTTGTCGAATTATGTTTTAACATCCAATTTGACTTAGCTGCTGTTAGTTGTAGGATAGGATTTTTTTAAAATTATATTTGTTCTTTCTATTGTTTAATTTCATGTTTGGATTCTTATATTCGATTTGTTTTCGTATAGGGCCTACTATATAGTATGAATTTATTTTTTATCGATATTATATATGCTGTCTTAATTTGCTTCTAACCAATATTTTTTACACTTGTTTTTTTGGATCTGAAAAAACCACCTTAAAAAATAATATTACTGGAAGTCATATGACATTTCTATTAGAACCTTTAAAATAACGCTGAAAAGGGAATTTTATTTATTGAATTACTTTTATTTACCCTTTATTTTATCTAGACGACTACCACCAATAACAGCAACGGGATGGAAGAAAACTTAGACGACGCGATTCACGTGCTAAGGCATCATGCGTTTATTAATCACCATCAGGCTTCAGGGTATTCTCCCCTGCCATCACGCGACTCATTAATACAAGATGGTGGTGACCATGGGATAAACAGAAGAAACAAAAAGGAACTTATGCCAGCAGCTGTCCCTTCCAAAAAGGGCAGGCCACCTAATTCTTCCAAAAAGGTATTGGGTTCAAATGCTCCTGGGGCTAAAATCAAAGAAAAGAAAACGAATAAGACAAGCACCGTTAACGAAGTTTTGAATAAAGGAATTGACCAAAACACCGAAGGGAGCGTCATTAAGGGATCTGCTAAGCCATTGAATACGGTACTAGTGTTGTTAATCACTAAACTTACTTTTACCAATTTGAAAACGGCTTAGGCCAACTTTTATCCTGAAAATGTCCCAATAAGTCATACTTTAGGCGAAAGTCTTGGCTAAGCCTTTAGTATCAAATAAATATATGTGATATAACCCTATCATATATTTTAATAAAATCTTGAATTTTGTATAGAATCCATTTTTTCTCCGATTTTGGTATCGGATCCTAATTTTTTTTAATTACCCAGCCGAGATACCTCTTTCTAAAAAAAACATTTATTAACTTTCTTATAACTAAAATCTTAATTCAATAATAAAAAAAATTATATTAGTATATCTTCAACAAGTATAATAAATATTATAACTAATCGTCAGTTATTTTATTCATAGATAATTTTATGATAAATATTTTTCTTTTTCCGGGCCTGGACCAATACAGATCCTACTTTTTTCTCGCCCTGAATTCATAGTTAGCACGAATTCAGAGTCATTATACAATCTTGATTTTTATTTTTTTTAGTCTATGCCAACTCTCAACAATAATTTGGCATCTGGCTACACTGAAATTCAGTATCCAAATGAATACGGGTCGCTACCTTCAATATCTGGTTTAATCGGAAGTAAAAAATTTATTGTTTATTTTCTATGCTGTTAAAAAATGAGTATTGCGATATTATAGTTATAAGGTGGAATTTGATATTTTTTAGCCTGTTTCAGAATTAAATTTTATTAATTTGAGAGGTTATTTATATTTAATTTTATATTTATGTAAATTAGGACTTTGCCGATATTAAATAACGGATAGAGGCCGATATTTAAATAAATATAGAATTAAACCGATGTTTTCTAAATAATTGATCCGATAATTTTTATTATTTTATGATTGTATATATATTTAGGTAATATTTTATATTTTACATAATTTAATAATAAAATTAAAAAAGGAACCAAAATTTTTTGTAATGCTAAAAAAAATCGAATTATTTTAAAAGTTATAAACGATAGTGATTTATATTATATGCAACAAGAAACGGATTTAAAAATATCTAAAGAGTCGCATTCAGCAGCTAGTGTTCTATTTAACCGAATTTTAAAAATGGCTAATTCAAGATTTTAGCTTATTTTTTTAAACCCAATTTAGAGATCTTTTCCACAGATGGTGGAATATTTTTTTTAAATCAGCGAAATTGAGGCGTTTAGCAATATTACACCCATATACATTGCCCATATTTTAAATGAGATGATTAACTTTTAGAGAATAAAGAAAACAAAACACACTTAAATCATTCTTGAATGTTAGTTGGTTTTTTTTTTGAATAGAAAATATTGATTTTTGATGATATAGGTAGGGTTTTGAGATGGTAAATAAAAATTTAATATAAAAATCGGATCGGTTGTATTATCGGATCAGTAAAAAATTTTTAAGCCATAATATAAATATAAAATATTATAACAGCTTGATAAGTTATATACATATAACTTGCATGCATTTTACATATAGATTATTAAAAGCATTTTGTAATTAATTTACGTTATTTTTATAATATGTTTTATCAACTGGTACTATTATAGCTTCTGGTAGCATGTACCCATACAACGATACTCCTCTTAACAAATCAAATGAACACCTCTTATCTTTAGATACTCGGACCCAACAACAAAACGTCCTTGACGCAATGAATCTCAATTCCATTAACGATAACAATAGCAGCCATAACAATAATGCCACTCATTACGATATAGACTTATTAAATTCTCAACACAAAATCATAACTATCAACAATAATAATAACGTTCAGGTTTATGACATAATAGTGCATCATAGAATATTGGCGTCCGCTTGTTCCCATTATTTAGGATTGCTAAAAAAATAAAAAAATCACACTTTTATCCTCTCCCTAACGACGCCATTAACATAAAATTAATTGTTAATTTTTTTTGGATAAAGTTTTTACAATTTACCTTTTTTTACAAATAATGTAATGGCCTATTTTAGTATTGACTAATTTCGTTTCTGTAATTCATCAACAATTGTGACCAAACTTAATTTTATTAATTTTTTTTTCACTTGAAAATAATTATTTAGTCTGGAGGTGCACCTAACTTACCATCCCTCTCTCTTCCATCCAAAAAATCTTCCTCTAAACATACCATAGACACATCCTCCTCCTCAATAATCATAAAACATCACATGAATGTCTTGCCATCTACCGTAATTACAAGCCTTCCTTCCGCCCAAAATATAGATCAAAATTATATAAGCACCGATAATCCATCATCGCCAAATCATTCCAATTATCATCACTCTTCTCCTAAAGAATTCGCTTTCCTTCCTGGCTATCAACATACCAATAGCCATCACATGAATAAGTTGGAAAACGGCCCTGGTCATGGACCTGATTATTTTTTATTAGATAACGAAACAAGCCAAAGCAATCTTGATTTGAATGTAAACACCTCGAATCACGATACGAACGAAGATAATTCCGTTTTCAATGACTCATTCATTTCACCCGGTTCTAACTCGAGTTTGCAAAACAGCATTAACGGGACTGGTAATTTGAAACGCAGAAATCGAAATAAGTAATGATTTCTAGTAATTATCTTCTTTTTTTAAAAAAAATAAATAATATATATAGATATATATATAACCATATAATTGCTTGCTCATTTTTATCTTTAAATAAAATATGATTTATATTAAATTTTAGCCCCCAGGAAGATTTAGATCCGGTAGTGAAAATTGAAAAAGACAAAGAACGTCGGCATGCTAATAATGCCAGAGAAAGGTGAGTTTATTTGTACATATATATATTGCATAATACATTAAATAAAAGTATTTTCTATGTCGAACCATAATATTTTATACAATTTCATCTACCATTTTAAGAGTTCGCGTGCGGGATATAAATGAGGCTTTTAAAGAGCTTGGTAGAATGTGTATGATTCACACTCAGAGTGATAAAGCTCAAACCAAATTGGGAATACTGCACTTGGCTGTTAACGTTATCACTCAACTTGAACAACAAGTTCGAGGTCAAGAACACTTTTTTTTAATTTGTATTTATATTGTGTAATTTGAAAAATTTATATTTTTCTTATCAACGAGAAAGAAAAATATAAAACATAACTGAACAATTCATATATTCTCACTTGTTTTGGTTATTTTAGAACGCAATCTGAACCCTAAAACGGCTTGCCTCAAACGAAGAGATGACGATCATTCACGTTCTTCTTCTACTCTTCATAGGGATAAAAATTATCATCACGAAACAAGCAATGCCGTTTCAAATCTTAACCAAGCCCTAAATTCCATATTTGAAGCCACTAAATATATATCGCCCTCTAATAACCTCAACAATATAAATAATATAAGTGGGCATTTAACTTCTAATAAAGCGAATTCATCAAATTCTAACCTGACTTTCCACGAGGTTTTAGGTGGGGGAGGACCAACATCTAATATAAATGCTGTAAAACAGGCTTTAAATGAAATAATGAAAGAATCGTTGTAATTTAATAACGCCCCACTACCCACATTTTATTATATACCTTAAATTTAACCTTCAAGCTCGTGCCAATTATATATAACATATTATTTAAACATACATTTTGTACATATACTTCTTTTATTATTATATTTAAGTACATGATCATTGATTTTGACACAAAATAATTATTTTATTTATTTTTTTTAAAGATATTTTAAAAATAAAATTTATTTTCTCTTTTTACCAGTTTTTAAGGTATTCTCTTCCATTTGACATTTTTATTTGCCAAATTAATAAATTTTTTAAGAAAAGTTCTAATTTCTAAAACCAAAGATTAAATTTTGCCAAAATTATATTTTATCCCATCCATATTTTTATTTGTCTATGTTACAACAACAAATCGTGTGAAAATTTTTTGATATATAATTAAATTGGATTTTTAAATTTTTTTTATATATCATTATTAAATTATTATTGACTTTACAAATGATGAAAATTATAATGTTATTTAAAATATTTTTAGTTATTACTAATTTTTGGTATTTTAGTTGTATAACGAGTTAATTTTTAAATATTTATATTAAAAAAAAATTGTTTCAAATAAACAAAGATGACGAGTAAAAAAGTTTGATTGGCTTTCTTCTATGATTTGAATTGAGGTCTCATTGAACTGGTTTTTAGTCCTCCCCCATACGCCCATCTAAGCGGGTGGGTGGACGGGTTAAGAAAAATATTTAAACTATGGGCGGGCGGCCGGGTTAAAAAATTTACAACTTTTATTTGTTATTTAAAATCATTTAAGTACACATTAAAAAATATATGCCCCCTGAAATTTCAACATTTTTAATACCAAAGTACCGATAACTGAGGATGTTTTCGTCTGAAGAAATTAATTAGGTAAAAAATATATCGAAAATATGTTGGATTTGATGCATGTATGAATATAACATCAACATGGATGAAAATCTGATTTTATCCGTTTTCCCAAAACCAAAGAGAATTTAATTAATAATTATTAAATTATAAAAATGTTCGAAATAGATAGCATCCACGTCAAAATAACTACAGATGGGAAGATATGTCTGTTACAGAGGAGTGAATTACCTAATGGCATACTATCAATATTGAGATTATTTTATCTCATATGATATAATTTAAATAAATATATATTAAAAAATATTAAGACTAAAATAATAAAAATATATATATATTATTAAAACTTATTTATATAAAAAAATATTAAGAAAATAATAAAAATATATATATAATATTAAAACTTATTTATGTATAAAAAATATAAAAATATTCATTAAATATTATTATTTTCCCATTTAAATATATAGATATCTGTTCAAGATTGTGAAGGATATTTTATCACGTAAAGGAATTATTAAATCATTGCTTAGCCATGACGCCCATTAATTATTTAAAACAATATCATTGATGCATAAAATTATTGGCAAATAAATTTATTTAGAATTTTTTAAAATAATTTCCGCTAACTTTTAATGAATACATTATAAGTTAGCTAAAAAAATTTTTAAAATAAATGCTCTATAAAATGATAATTTGTTTGAAAGAACGATAAAAATTAGAGTATTTACATTTTATTATTTTTATGGTGTTCGAATTGAGTGTGAACAAAATATTAAAATGTTGTTTATGTATTTTGTGCTCTTAATAAGTATTTCTGTTCGAGAACAACGACGTACCCTGTGTATAAGTATGATAAATTGTATTACGTTTTTAGACGATGTATCTGTATCTTTATCCATTTATAAATTATCTTTTAACAACTCTGCTAAAACCCTTCTAGCAATGCTAATTCCTCGTTCATAAAAAGCACTGGTTTCTGGAATTAGCATTATTTTATAGCTAATCTTGATAGCTTTGATAAATCTTTTTCTTGTCATTTCCATCAAAGTTAGTAGGATATCCGTTTGAAGTATAACCTCTACTCAAGTGAGATATTTAAATAAAAAGTGTCACCATTAATAATAAATTTAAAAAAAGTAATTAGAATTGATTGTTTATAAAATGTAAACTAAACTAAGTAATCTAAAATCTTGCTAAATTATATAAAAACTCGTTATTTCAAGATTTTAATAATCATTAAAACTTACACTAAAGAATTTAAACTTAAAATCAGCCATCACCCACCTTTAAAGTAATTAAATTATACTGTAGTCCCAGCGTCTAAATGACAATATTTTCACTGGGTGCAAACCCCCTTTGAAAACCTTTGCCTACCCCCTAAAAAAATTTGGCACCTTATTATTATTTTTACCTTTTAAATTTATTGATACTCTTTTCAGAGAATCTATAAAGGATAATTTAAATTAATCTATCTCTACTACCAACTATCGATATTTTTATAAAGAATTTATTTTAGTTAATAAATTCAATTAAAACCTCCATTATTTACAATGAATTTATTATTATGGCATTATGAGCTTGATGAAATGATAGCAGAAAATTTTATTTGGAAATTTAATAGATAACCAAAAAAATTTATTTTACCACCATTAAAGCAGCCTACCCCTTACCCCCATTAAAGTAGCCTACCTCCCCCCCCCTTAAAAAATGGATGCGAACTGTTCCTACCCCTCCCGCTCATGTAGACGCTGTGTAGTTCTCGGGTATAGGCTCTTTTTTTTGCCCCACTTCTTTTTAATAAACCTATAGAGGTTTAAGCAACATTTTTCGAAATTTTGCGCCTACAAGTACGTGCGCCTTGCCCACAAACATGTGAAGGGCTCCTCATTTTTCTCCCCCTAATTTACTATTCAGTTTGATGGATTTGAGGAAAACCTAGCATAGCTCTGTTGTACCCACAACCAAAGGGCGAAAACGATTTTATCACGTAATATGTGGACGATACAATATTTCAAGATTCTGTAATCGATCAATACAAACTAAAGATAATAATCTCATTATTAAAAATTGTCTCAGAGATGCTGTGCTCAGCCAATATTTGAGATCAAAATACTTAAGTTTTTTCTATTTTAATTTTATTCAGTATTTTTAGTAATAATACCAATAACTATCCCAATTAACATTTGTATTACCTGAACGCTGCTTCTCTAAGTTCAAGGCGCACCTCATATAATTAATTCTAATCGATTAAAGCATACTATTCTTATTTTATATAAGTTAATTCACACCCAAAATCCTCAAGTTCAATATATATTTTACCTATCGCACAATAATGACCTTTATAAATTTAATTCAACCTATTAATTTCCCCATTTTTTAATCAAATAATAATTCTTTAGCAATAAGAGATTTTAATAAAAATAGAGTTCAACCAATTACCAAAATATGCTAAATCTCAATTCAGAACAAAGTCTATCCTAAATTAATCTATAATCCAGACTATTTAGACAATATTTATATAAAGGTGATTTATACAATTAACACTAACATCTTAACATCAATATCCAAGGACTGCACCTATAACTTCAGAGTTTATAACAAGCTCACTCTCAATTGATGAAACTACTAACAACACATTTTCTTAGGAAAAAAGATACAACATTTACAAGCACTATACATAATTATTCTGATCCCATCTACAACAAAACCCTTATATTCCAACATACCAGCAAATAACCCTACAATGTTTTTGTCTTAGACTCGAATTAACAAACTTTTCAGGTATCAAACCATCTTCTCATCATAAGCATGAAAGAATCTGCCCATCCTATCACAAACTTATCAATATAAAAAAAGATGAACCCCCAAGCCCTCCCTTGCTCAGGTTCTAACACTTTTCACAAAACCAATAGAACCCCCAATTAATACCAAACACTTACATGTAAATAATGCTAGAAGAATTTAACTTTATAAAAAAAATACCAACAATAAAACATCCCATCTAGTGTTAATTACCAAATCACTGACCACCTTACTAAATTATTTGATAATATTAACAAAGATTTGTCAAATTTAAATCATTGGAATAAGCTCTTCACATTCCCTTTCAAATGCCTCTCAATCCCTAAAGATATCAAATCTATCTCACTACCTAACCTAATAAAAACAGACTCATAAATTTGGGAAATTTAATACAATTAGAATACATTAAAAATCCCAATAATTCTAATGAAAGTTTCAGTAATACCTGCAACAAAATATCCAAAAAAATAAATGAAGGCGACATATGCGGTGCACAAAAATCAATCTCTTAACAAACAAAACTCGCCCCATTTAACGACAAGACCCTTGACAACCTAAAATCCCTTGATCCACGTGCCTCTTACACTCTTACCAAACCCACCGCTCAATATCCCCCCTTTCATAATTACAACCAAGATACTTGCGAAACTATAAGTGAATTTAATAAATTTCAGTCCCAGATGGCTATAGACCATCTTACTTCCAAACATTTCTAAAATCTCATAATTCCAATAATTTTTTTAACTCACTTACCACCTTCCTTAATAATATAACTACTAAAGATATTCCCACATTAGCTCATCAAATTATATTTGGTGCTAACTTGATTGCTTTCGAAAAACCTAATGGAGGCATCCGCCCAATCGCAATCGGTTCACTTTTCAGACACCTGATAGCTAAAATTATTGCAAAAAATATAAATCCTATTTAAACATCCACCAATAAACTCCGTTTTATGCAAAATCGATTTTAAGAATGCCTTCATTACAATTTCACGTTCCTCGGCACTCGAATCTTTTTACGATAATTTCCCCCAATATTCGCGCTTCGTAGACAAATGCTATAACAATAGCGCTCCCCTCATTTTTAATGGTAGCGTTATATATTCTGAAGAGGGAGTACAACAGGGCGACCTCCTCGGCCCTATTCTTTTCTGCTTAGCTATCCACAATATGATGAAATTTTATATTTGATTTTAACTTCGACCTTAACCTATGGTACCTAGATGATGGCACCCTTTGCTGTAGTACACATCAAATAAGCAAAGCCCTTAGCCACCTCGAAGCAGAATGCACTAAAATAGGTTTAGAATTAAACAAAACAAAAACAGAAATATGCTCCCTCAACCCCGATATTCCCTTTGATTTATTTAAAGATTACACTATTTTCGAAAAAGAAAAAATTTAACTCTTGGGCTCCCCATTACTTAATAATAATGTTCCGAAAAAATTATCGGTAAAACTTTTTCTGAGATGCTAAACTTAGAAAAGTTCATCAACCATATTCCATCGCATCATCTTTTTTACTTACTAAAAAGTGTTTATATCCTAAAATCTCGCATCTCTTCCACTCATTCTCTCATTCACCGCTTCAAAATTTTTCATTCAGCACAATATTCACTTAAACATTTATAGAAAGGGTCCTCAACCACATTCACAGACTTTATTTGACACCTACCAATAACCCGCCAAACTAGGTGGTATCGACTTGAG